AGGTTTAATGAGTTGGGGGATATTTGGAAGAAAATATGAAAATTAGTTGGGATATTTGGGAAGAAATATGTTTATTTATATGGATATTAAGAATAGGTTTAATGAGATGGGGATAGTACATTTAAGAAATAGGTAGGTAAAATGATAGGTGGATCTATGTAAAAATATGTAAACAGATAGGGACTATTTTTAATCTATGGGCACTATTCCTCCCACTGAAACACATTCTCCCACTGGGGCACTATTCCTCTGAAACCACTGAACTATTTCCTCCCATCTATGGGGCACTATTCCTCCCACTGAAACCATCTATGGGGCACTATTCCTCCCACTGATCCCATCTATGGGGCACTATTTCTTCCACTGACACCATCTATGGGGCACTATTCCTCCCACTGACCCCATCTATGGGGCACTATTCCTCCCACTCCCACTGACCCCATCTATGGGGCACTATTCCTCCCACTGACCCCATCTATGGGGCACTATTCCTTCCATTCAAATTCCATTGATGGTGCATTGCTTATGCTCACTAATGTTGGGGCATTTTGTACTCTCTTTGGCCACAGTCTGGCACCCCTAAAGTCTGAAGGAGAGTAACTGGCCCTTTGCTTAGAAAGTTTGAAGACCCCTGGGTTAAAGTGATATTAACTGCTTGCCCTCCAGAGGATTTACCCCCATTCCTGACCAAGCCATGTTTTGCAATATGGCGCTGCGTTACTTTAACTGACAATTGTGCAGTCATGCAATGCTGTACATAAATGAAATTGTCCTTTTTTTTCAAATATAGAACTTTCTTTTGGTGGTATTTGATCACCTGTGCATTTTTTTTGCCCTGTAAACAAAAAAAAAAACATATCTAGTAAAAAAATTAAAAAAATCTAATTTCTTCATAAATATATGTAGACCCCACCTTACAACTTACAGGACTTAAAAGATCTGCTACTGATGGCTTGGTGTCAGATACGTACCACAGCATACCTTCAGAGGTCTATAGGCATCCGTGTCTCGATAATTCAGGGCTGTTTTGGCAGCAAAAAGGGTAACAACTCAGTATTAGGTGGGTAGTCATAAAGTTATGGTTGGTCGGTGTATATTTCTACTACCCTTCTGTGCTCCAGCCTTGGAAAGCCTTTTTGGCATTTGACATTTTCTCAGCTGACATTCTGCTTTCCTGTGAAAGTGCATGTGCACATCCCATAGATGCACAATTGGATTGAGATCTGGAGAATTTGGAGGCCAAGTCAACTCCTCAAATTTGTTGTGTTCCTCAAACCATTCTTGAATTCATCAGACCAGGCCACCTTCTTCCATTACTCCGTGGTCCAGTTTAATATTCTACATTTATTTTGACAGCAGCAACACAATTAGGTACATTCATGTACTTGTGTAAAAAAATAAACAGTATTTATGGTTCTACATTGTGCACAGCACTTTACAAGAGGGTCAGTGCAGAGCAATAAAAAGCAGCCTGTTCATGCTGACGGGAGAGATCTATGTTGTTTACATACATATCTCTCCCATCAGCTCCGCCAACGATCACCAAGTCCCCACTGACAATTGGTTACCGGGGACCTGGTGATTGACATGCCGAGAAGCCAATAAAAACAGGTTCACTCTTTTCAAACATTTCCAGGCTTCCCAACAAAGGCATTTATTAAAGCACTTTACAAAAAACAACAGAGTGAAGGCACTCTTTAGTTTTCCTGGTGTGGGCATGCTCAGTCATGTCACTACTGAGATGTCTGAACTAGGTGAAGTCAATGCCTGTTTGGATTTTTTTGAAATATATCACTTTATACAAACTTAAAGTTCTTTTTAAAGCAGTTAATTTTTAAAATGTTCAACATATGTATAGAAAGTATAAATTGCTTGAGATCATGTCATTAAAAATATTTTTCTCTGCTGTTCACCTGGTTCTAAGAGGTGAACTCATTTATTATTAGTACTATTATTATTATACAGGATTTATATAGCGCCAACAGTTTGCTCAACGCTTTACAATACAAAGGGAGACAATACAGCAATGATACACATAAATACAAGAGGGTTAGGAGGGCCCTGCTCCTTGGAGCTTACAATCTAAGAGGGAGGGGCTGGCGGTACAAAAAGTTAATAACTGTGGGGGATGAATTGACAGGAGAAATAGAAGATTCGGTTATTAGCTGAAGGCAGAATAGGTTTCCCTGAAGAGATAGGTTTTCAGAGAACGCCTAAAAGTGGACAGAGTAGGCGATAGTCGGATAGATTGGGGTAGAGAGTTCCAGAGGATGGGGAGGCTCTGGAAAAGTCCTGGAGACGAACATGGGAGGAGAAAACAAGGGAACTAGAGAGCAGGAGATCGTGGGAGGAGCTTTTTTGGGGCAGAGTTATAAATGGCTTTATATGTCATTGTTAGTGTTTTAAATTGTATTTGTTGGGCAAAAGGAAGCCAGTGGAGGGATTGGCAGAGAAGGATGGCAGACACAGAATGATTGGTAAGGTGGATGAGTCTGGCAGCAGCATTCATGATAGACTGGAAAGGGGATAGTCTGCGATTAGGTAAGCCAATGAGGAGGGAGCTACAATAATCAAGGCAAGGGATAACAAGGGAGTAAATAAGTAGCTTAGTGGTTTCAGTGGGTAAAAAAGAGCATATCGTGGAGATGTCTGTACAACTTGCGAGACAGTCTGTATCCACCAGCTATTAACCTTTCAAAACCAAGGGAATGGACACTGACCGTCCAAAATAATATATAGGATCGCCAACACTCAACACAACACTACCTGGGTGTCCAAAAAATCATAAATATATAATGTGTTGCGCTCCCAGTGACAATATCTTTGATGTATATATCTAATTAACCTTAATATACAAATAATTTTCAGGTATTAAAAAATATGCAAAACCAAACTATGTGAGTGATTTGAAAAAATATAAACCACTATAATAATATATATAAATCAGATAATAATAACCGCAAAACCAATAAATAGTGCATAGTGAACTAAAATATATAACTGAAAAAAATACATATCATGAATAGTGAATTACTTAAAAAATTATATATATACTGCCAAATAATTGTGATATAAATGTCCTTTAAATGCAGTGACTTTGTGCTTGAATGAATCTTGATTTGGTGACTTTTTGTGAATTTGTGACTTTCTTTGAATCCTCAATTGGTAAAGATGTATGCTCACCTCCTTGTTAGCCTGCAATTAGGCTATACACACTTGTGGTTCACCTCCTATGGAACCTGCTTAGATGGAATTCCTCTTTTGTGAATGGTAAGAACGTGGATATGCGTTATCCTCAGATTGCCCATGTGCGTTTTTTCCATATGTGGGAACAAATTGCCAGACATGGTGTTTTATCCTTATAAAAAGGTTTCTCCTTTATTGCTTGCCAACAGGTACACTCACATATGTGATATGCGGTCTAGGATGAATTGCTCAGCTCTAATGATCCGCCAGCCGTCCTGCCATGCACCCGCCGTCTGTCCGATACTCCAGCTCTCTCCGAGTGACACCGCAGCCCCACCCCTACGCGTTACGCCACTGGTCACGTGGCTTCATCAGGGGGTTGTGATCACATTGACAAGATCCTCACTTGTAGTTCTGGGATGATTCCTCACTGTTCTCACGATCTTGCATGGTGCACAGACCTAGGGAGACTGACGGTTGTTTTGTGTTTCTTCCATTTGCGAATGATTGCACCAACAGTTGTCCCCTTCTCACCAAGCCGCATGGCGATAGTTTGGTAGCCCAGTCCAGCCTTGTGTAGGTCTTCAATCTTGTCTCTGACATCCTTGGAAAGCGCTCTGGTCTTTGCATTTAACTTAAAAAAGGGTGTTTCTAGGCTTCAGAGAGACTTAATATTAGTCAGCTGAACACTGTACCTTTAATTTAAATGCCCTTGGAGTCTGCTGGGGAAGAGAAATAATACTGTCAGGCAGTATGACATGCAGATGAGTGCCGTCGATCTTAGAATCACCGCACACTTCACTCATTTGGCAGTCACGGGGCCAAAACCAGAGTGTGGAGCCACAGTGTGGCGGTGGAGGCAGCAGCAATGGGAGGCCATACAGCACCCTATGACAAAAATGGAAACCACCAGCAGTGTGAGGAGACCTGAAAGTGGCACATGGCAGAGTGTGGCGATAGAGACAGCAGCAATGGGAGGCCGTACAGGGACCCATGACACACTCTGGACCTGGCAGCAGCATGAGGAGGCGGTACAGGGGCCCATGGCAGATTACGGGCCTGGCAGCAGCATGAGGAGTCGGTACGGGGGCCCATGGCAGATTACAGGCCTGGCAGCAGCAATGGGAGGCCGTACAGGGACCCATGACACAATCTGGACCTGGCAGCAGCATGGGGAGGCGGTACAGGGGCCCATGACAGATTACGGGCCTGGCAGCAGCATGAGGAGTCGGTACGGGGGCCCATGACACACTCTGGACCTGGCAGCAGCATGAGGAGGCGGTACAGGGGCGCATGACAGATTACGAGCCTGGCAGCAGCAACTTGGACAGGAGGACGTTCAGCTTCTGCACCGTCTGGTGCGTGCTCGCAAACTGTTGTCTCTTGGGAAACGGATTCCAAGAAAGACTGCTGACGGAATCCGTGAAGAGGAGTAGCAGGAGAAGGAGCATCTGAACGAGCGGAATATGCCAACAAGCGACAACAGGGGCCCATGACAGATTACGGGCCTGGCAGCAGCATGAGGAGTCGGTACGGGGGCCCATGGCAGATTAGGGGGCCTGGCAGCAGCTATGGGAGGCCCGTAATCTGCCAGCACCCTATGACAAAAAATGGAACCCACCAGCAGTGTGAGGAGACCTGAAAGTGGCACATGGCAGAGTGTGGCGATGGAGACAGCAGCAATGGGAGGCCGTACAGGGACCCATGACACACTCTGGACCTGGCAGCAGCATGAGGAGGCGGTATAGGGGCCCATGGCAGATTAGGGGCCTGGCAGCAGCTATGGGAGGCCCGTAATCTGCCAGCACCCTATGACAAAAAATGGAACACACCAGCAGTGTGAGGAGACCTGAAAGTGGCACATGGCAGAGTGTGGCGATGGAGACAGCAGCAATGGGAGGCCGTACAGGGACCCATGAGAGACTCTGGACTTGGCAGCAGCATGAGGAGGCGGTATAGAGGGGCCCATGGCAGATTAGGGGCCTGGCAGCAGCTATGGGAGGCCCGTAATCTGCCAGCACCCTATGACAAAAAAATGAACACACCAGCAGTGTGAGGAGACCTGAAAGTGGCACATGTTTGGGGCATGATGATTCATGGCGGATTTAGTCAGTTGTGTCAGGAACTGGTGGTTTGAAATCCAGACTAATCCACAAGCCTGATTCATTTTCACAAACGTCAGTCCTCTCCACACTTTGGGTGGACAGTCGTGTCCTCCGCGGAGTGCAAATCTACCTCCTGCCCGCACTAAACACGCGCAGCTCCGATGCCACGCTACTGTGGCACATGGCAGAGGCATGACATGGAGACAGCCTTTCAAGGGCAAATTCAGCTAGTTGGGGGCCAAAGGTCAAGTTTCGTTGCCCAGTAGTGAGGGGATTGTCTACCTGGGATTGTCTACCTCGTTTGCAGGGTGCTGTCCAAGTAGGCCCAAGCCTGTTGTTTGAGGTCCTGCTCCCAGGTCCACCTGATGCTGCTGCTGCTGCTGCTGCTGCTGGCAGGCTGTATAGTAAGTTTCCTCACTGCACTGCTGGTGAAGAAAGCTACTCATCATCGACTGCAGACTGAGGCAGCCGCTGCTGGTGGAGCTGCCACTGCTCCTACCACCACCCACCCCTCCCCTGCTGCCATGGCAGCGGAACACGCGAGCGCACAGGGCCCACAGTGTCTGAGGATGGACGTTGGGCGCAGACAGGCAGAGACCAGCTGACTACATAGGTGGTTTTTTATAGTACGTTATTTTGGCCTCCCTCTCAGCAGGTGTGAAAAAGGCCACCATTTTGGAACGGTAGCGAGGGTCCAACAAGGTGGACAGCCAAAAGTCATCCCTCTGTCTGATGGTTATTATTCGGCTGTCGCTGGACGCAAGCAACCGAGCATGCTATGGGCCATTTGTGCCAAGGAATGCGAGGGACTCTGCCCTGCCTCCATCTCCACAGCATACTGCCACGGTGCGTCTGGGTCCTCTGTCTCCTCCTCCTCCTCCTCCTACTACCAGATGCTCCTGCTCCTCCACTCCTGTCCGCTGAGTGAAAAAACCACCCATTTCACTCAATAATTCCTGAGCACCAATGTCCTCCTCTACCTCCTCCTCTTCTTCCTGTCCTGCCCCCACAGGGGTCATGTGGCGTTGAGATCTGTGCGCCACGTCTACCGCACCCTGACCAGGGACCATTGTTAACAGCATTTGTTCCAGGACGTGCAACAGAGGAATGACGTCGTTCATTCCCATAGTCCTGCCGACTCACGAATAGCGTGGCCTCCTCAAAGGGCCTGAGCAAGCGCAGGTGTCACGCATGAGCTGCCAATGGCTGACATCTAAGTTACACAAAAATGGAATACCTTTATCCGCTTTTAACATCAGGAAATCTGTGATGGCCTTTATATTTTGCTGTTCGTAAAGGCGGTCTAACATATGTAGGGTTGAATTCCACCTTGTTGCAACGTCACAGCATGAGGAGTCGGTATAGGGGCCCATGGCAGATTAGGGGCCTGGCAGCAGCTATGGGAGGCCCGTAATCTGCCAGCACCCTATGTCAAAAAATTAACACACCAGCAGTGTGTGAGGAGACCTGAAAGTGGCACATGGCAGAGTGTGGCGATGGAGACAGCAGCAATGGGAGGCCGTACAGGGACCCATGACAGACTCTGGACCTGGCAGCAGCATGAGGAGGCGGTATATAGGGGCCTATGGCAGATTAGGGGCCTGGCAGCAGCAATGGGAGGCCCCGTAATCTGCCAGCACCCTATGTCAAAAAATTCTACACACCAGCAGTGTGTGAGGAGACCTGAAAGTGGCACATGGCAGAGTGTGGCGATGGAGACAGCAGCAATGGGAGGCCGTACAGGGACCCATGAGAGACTCTGGACCTGGCAGCAGCATGAGGAGGCGGTATATAGGGGCCCATGGCAGATTAGGGGCCTGGCAGCAGCTATGGGAGGCCCATAATCTGCCAGCACCCTATGTCAAAAAATTCAACACACCAGCAGTGTGTGTGAGAGACCTGAAAGTGGCACATGGCAGAGTGTGGCGATGGAGACAGCAGCAATGGGAGGCCGTACAGGGACCCATGAGAGACTCTGGACCTGGCAGCAGCATGAGAGGAGGCGGTATATAGGGGCCTATGGCAGATTAGGGGCCTGGCAGCAGCTATGGGAGGCCCATAATCTGCCAGCACCCTATGTCAAAAAAATTCTACACACACAGCAGTGTGAGAGACCTGAAAGTGGCACATGGCATGTGGCGAGAGACACAATGGGACCTGGGACAGCAGCATGAGGAGGCGGTATATAGGGGCCTATGGCAGATTAGGGGCCTGGCAGCAGCTATGGGAGGCCCGTAATCTGCCAGCACCCTATGTCAAAAAATTCTACACACCAGCAGTGTGTGAGGAGACCTGAAAGTGGCACATGGCAGAGTGTGGCGATGGAGACAGCAGCAATGGGAGGCCGTACAGGGACCCATGACAGACTCTGGACCTGGCAGCAGCATGAGGAGGCGGTATATAGGGGCCTATGGCAGATTAGGGGCCCTGGCAGCAGCTATGGGAGGCCCTTAATCTGCCAGCACCCTATGTCAAAAAATTCTACACACCAGCAGTGTGTGAGGAGACCTGAAAGTGGCACATGGCAGAGTGTGGCATGAGAGACAGCAGCAATGGGAGGCCGTACAGGGACCCATGAGGACTCATGGACCTGGCAGCAGCATGAGGAGGAGGCGGTATATAGGGGCCTATGGCAGATTAGGGGCCTGGCAGCAGCTATGGGAGGCCCGTAATCTGCCAGCACCCTATGTCAAAAAATTCTACACACCAGCAGTGTGTGAGGAGACCTGAAAGTGGCACATGGCAGAGTGTGGCGGCGATGGAGACAGCAGCAATGGGAGGCCGTACAGGACCCATGACAGACTCTGGACCTGGCAGCAGCATGAGGAGGCGGTATATAGGGGCCTATGGCAGATTAGGGGCCTGGCAGCAGCTATGGGAGGCCCTTAATCTGCCAGCACCCTATGTCAAAAAAATTCTACACACCAGCAGTGTGTGAGGAGACCTGCACATGGCAAGAGTGTGGCGAGGAGACCTGAAAGTGGCCGTACATGGCCCATGAGAGACACTGGACCTGGCAGCAGCATGAGGAGGCGGTATATAGGGGCCCATGGCAGATTAGGGGCCTGGCAGCAGCTATGGGAGGCCCATAATCTGCCAGCACCCTATGTCAAAAAATTCAACACACCAGCATGTGTGAGGAGACCTGAAAGTGGCACATGGCAGAGTGTGGCGATGGAGACAGCAGCAATGGGAGGCCGTACAGGGACCCATGACAGACTCTGGACCTGGCAGCAGCATGAGGAGGCGGTATATAGGGGCCCATGGCAGATTAGGGGCCTGGCAGCAGCTATGGGGGAGGCCCTTAATCTGCCAGCACCCTATGTCAAAAAATTCTAACACACCAGCAGTGTGTGAGGAGACCTGAAAGTGGCACATGGCAGAGTGTGGCGATGGAGACAGCAGCAATGGGAGGCCGTACAGGGACCCATGACAGACTCTGGACCTGGCAGCAGCATGAGGAGGCGGTATATAGGGGCCTATGGCAGATTAGGGGCCTGGCAGCAGCTATGGGAGGCCCGTAATCTGCCAGCACCCTATGTCAAAAAAAAAAATTTCTACACACCAGCAGTGTGTGAGGAGACCTGAAAGTGGCACATGGCATGAGAGACAATGGGAGGCCGTGGACCTGGGCAGCAGCATGAGGAGCGGTATATAGGGGCCTATGGCAGATTAGGGGCCTGGCAGCAGCTATGGGAGGCCCATAATCTGCCAGCACCCTATGTCAAAAAATTCTACACACCAGCAGTGTGTGAGGAGACCTGAAAGTGGCACATGGCAGAGTGTGGCGATGGAGACAGCAGCAATGGGAGGCCGTACAGGGACCCATGAGAGAGACTCTGGACCTGGCAGCAGCATGAGGAGGCGGTATATAGGGGCCTATGGCAGATTAGGGGCCTGGCAGCAGCTATGGGGAGGCCCTTAAATCTGCCAGCACCCTATGTCAAAAAATTCTACAACACAGCAGCAGTGTGAGGAGACCTGAAAGTGGCACATGGCATGATGGAGACAGCAGCAATGGAGGCCGTACAGGCCCATGAGCAGACTCTGGACCTGGCAGCAGCAGGAGGCGGTATATAGGGGCCTATGGCAGATTAGGGGCCTGGCAGCAGCTATGGAGAGGCCCGTAATCTGCCAGCACCCTATGTCAAAAAATTTCAACACACCAGCAGTGTGAGAGGAGACCTGAAAGTGGCACATGGCAGAGTGTGGCGATGGAGACACAGCAGCAATGGGAGGCCGTACAGGGACCCATGACAGACTCTGGACCTGGCAGCAGCATGAGGAGGCGAGCGGTATATAGGGGCCCCTATATGGCAGATTAGGGGCCTGGCAGCAGCTATGGAGAGCCCGTAATCTGCCAGCACCCTATGTCAAAAAAATCTACACACCAGCAGTGTGTGAGGAGACCTGAAAGTGGCACATGGGCAGAGTGTGGCGATGGAGACAGCAGCAATGGGAGCCCGTACAGGGACCCATGACAGACTCTGGACCTGGCAGCAGCATGAGGAGGCGGTATATAGGGGCCTATGGCAGATTAGGGGCCTGGCAGCAGCTATGGGAGGCCCATAATCTGCCAGCACCCTATGTCAAAAAATTCTACACACCAGCAGTGTGTGAGGAGACCTGAAAGTGGCACATGGCAGAGTGTGGCGATGGAGACAGCAGCAATGGGAGGCCGTACAGGGACCCATGACAGACTCTGGACCTGGCAGCAGCATGAGGAGGCGCGGTATATAGGGGCCTATGGCAGATTAGGGGCCTGGCAGCAGCTATGGGAGGCCCGTAATCTGCCAGCACCCTATGTCAAAAAATTCTACACACCAGCAGTGTGTGAGGACCTGAAAGTGGCACATGGCAGAGTGTGGCGATGGAGACAGCAGCAGCAATGGGAGGCCGTACAGGGACCCATGACAGACTCTGGACCTGGCAGCAGCATGAGGAGGCGGTATATAGGGGCCTATGGCAGATTAGGGGCCTGGCAGCAGCTATGGGAGGCCCTTAATCTGCCAGCACCCTATGTCAAAAAATTCTACACACCAGCAGTGTGTGAGGAGACCTGAAAGTGGCACATGGCAGAGAGTGTGGCGATGGAGACAGCAGCAATGGGAGGCCGTACAGGGACCCATGACAGACTCTGGACCTGGCAGCAGCATGAGGAGGAGGCGGTATATAGGGGCCTATGGCAGATTAGGGGGGCCTGGCAGCAGCTATGGGAGGCCCGTAATCTGCCAGCACCCTATGTCAAAAAATTCTACACACCAGCAGTGTGTGAGGAGACCTGAAAGTGGCACATGGCAGCAGAGCGATGGACCTGGAGACAGCAGCAATGGGAGGCCGTACAGGGACCCATGACAGACTCTGGACCTGGCAGCAGCATGAGGAGGCGGTATATAGGGGCCCATGGCAGATTAGGGGCCTGGCAGCAGCTATGGAGGCCCTTAATCTGCCAGCACCCTATGTCAAAAAATTCTACACACCAGCAGTGTGAGGAGACCTGAAAGTGGCACATGGCAGTGAGAGACTCTGGACCTGGCAGCAGCATGGGAGGCGGTACATAGGGGCCCATGGCAGATTAGGGGCCTGGCAGCAGCATGGGGAGGCCCATAATCTGCCAGCAGATTAGGGGCCCTATGTCAAAAAATTCTGCCACACACCAGCACCAGTGTGAGGAGACCTGAAAGTGGCACATGGCAGAGTGTGGCGATGGAGACAGCAGCAATGGGAGGCCGTACAGGGACCCATGACAGACTCTGGACCTGGCAGCAGCATGAGGAGGCGGTATATAGGGGCCTATGGCAGATTAGGGGCCTGGCAGCAGCTATGGGAGGCCCGTAATCTGCCAGCACCCTATGTCAAAAAATTCTACACACCAGCAGTGTGTGAGGAGACCTGAAAGTGGCACATGGCAGAGTGTGGCGATGGAGACACAGCAATGGGAGGCCGTACAGGGACCCATGAGAGACTCTGGACCTGGCAGCAGCATGAAGCGGTATATAGGGGCCTATGGCAGATTAGGGGCCTGGCAGCAGCTATGGGAGGCCCATAATCTGCCAGCACCCTATGTCAAAAAATTCTACACACCAGCAGTGTGTGAGGAGACCTGAAAGTGGCACATGGCAGAGTGTGGCGATGGAGACAGCAGCAATGGGAGGCCGTACAGGGACCCATGACAGACTCTGGACCTGGCAGCAGCATGAGGAGGCGGTATATAGGGGCCCATGGCAGATTAGGGGCCTGGCAGCAGCTATGGGAGGCCCTAATCTGCCAGCACCCTATGTCAAAAAAAATTCTACACACCAGCAGTGTGAGAGGAGACCTGAAAGTGGCACATGGCAGAGTGTGTGGCGATGGAGACAGCAGCAATGGGAGGCCGTACAGGACCCATGAGAGACTCTGGACCTGGCAGCAGCATGAGGAGGCGGTATATAGGGGCCTATGGCAGATTAGGGGCCTGGCAGCAGCTATGGGAGGCCCATAATCTGCCAGCACCCTATGTCAAAAAATTCTCGGCACACCAGCAGTGTGAGGAGACCTGAAAGTGGCACATGGAGAGTGTGGCGATGGAGACAGCAGCAATGGGAGGCCGTACAGGGACCCATGAGGAGACTCTGGACCTGGCTGGCAGCAGCATGAGGAGGCGGTATATAGGGGCCTATGGCAGATTAGGGGCCTGGCAGCAGCATATGGAGGCCCATAATCTGCCAGCACCCTATGTCAAAAAATTCTACACACCAGCAGTGTGTGAGGAGACCTGAAAGTGGCACATGGCAGAGTGTGGCGATGGAGACAGCAGCAATGGGAGGCCGTACAGGGACCCATGAGAGACTCTGGACCTGGCAGCAGCATGAGGAGGCGGTATATATAGGGGCCTATGGCAGATTAGGGGCCTGGCAGCAGCTATAGGAGGCCCATAATCTGCCAGCACCCTATGTCAAAAAATTCAACACACCAGCAGTGTGAGGAGACCTGAAAGTGGCACATGGCAGAGTGTGT